ACTAAATTATTTGTCATTTTTTTTTCCTTCTCTTCCTCCTTTTTCACTTGCTTTTTTTTTCTCTTTAAAGATCTTGGCTTAACTCTTTTAAAACTAGCCTTAATTGATTTTATCTTATCAAATATTTTTCAATATTTTTTGCTTTTTTCTTTTAACCTAACTGCCCCAAATTTTACCTATTCATATACTTTCTCCAGTATGTTCTGCACCCTTTGAATATATTAATGATTCCTTATATTTAATAATTTTTTTTCTTTTGAATTTATCTGTAAATATTTTTAAAAAATTTTTTTAATTATCAATAATATTATTGAGATATATGAGTGTAATTTAATAAAAACTTATTTATATTTTAAAAATTAATATATTTTATATTAGTCAATTATTTTAGTATAAATTTGTACTACTTAAAATTCAGGATTAAACTGAGGTAGACAAAATTTTATAGAAAACTGTAAAAGTAAAAATTCTAAGATAGTTAAGACAGTTCCTAAGAAAGAAAATAAGTCTTTTAACTATAATAAAATCTCTATAAGCCTTTACTTTAAAGGTTAAAAAGATCTTTGGATACTTTACAGTTAGTATTTTTTCTTTTAAAAACTTTATTATTATTGTATCAAAGGTGCTACTTGACTTTTCTTAATTACTTGAAGTAAAATTTTTGGATAAAAAGATTTATAAATAATAAGAGAAGGATAGAGATGATTTTTGAAGTCAAATTTCAAGTTGTTTTAAAGAAAGTATTAAGACTTTATCTGTAAAAAGTGAAAATTTTTTGTAAATATTTTTTTTATATATGATTAAAGAATTAGTAAAGGGGGTTTTTTTAATTTAAGAAATTATTTAACTATTATATATATATAAGAATAATAGTATAAATATTAATTTTATAAAATAGAAAACTATTTTTAAAATACTTATAAAACAATTTTATATTAAATAATATATTAACAAATAAAAATAATATTTTAAAAAATAAAAATAAGGCTCAATTAAATTGATAAATATTTATCATACGATTTTTAAAAAGTTTTTTAAAAATCAACATTAAGAATAAAATAAATAAAAAGCAATAGTTCTATATTATGTTAGAAAATTACTATTATATTTATTTTTTAAAAATTGTTCTAATTTTAGAACTATTATTTTTAAACTTATATAGTTTATTAAAATAGATAAAATATAAATAATAATATTTATTTATTTATTTTTATTTTTTTTTTAGAATGTTAAAAGACTTTTTTAAAATTTATGAATTTTGTTGATACTCCTATTAAAAAGTTTAAAAAATTAGAAAATAGAATTATTATTCAGGATAAATTATTTTTATCTTATTAATAAATACAATTTTATTTAATCTATATACTTTAGATATAATAAATTAGAATATTTAGTCAATATATATATATAAAAAAGGTTAAACAAATTTTTTTAAGTCTAAAAAATCTTTAAATTATCTTATAATTAATAATTTATTAAAATTTAAATGTAAGAAGAAACTATATGTTATTTAATATAATTAATCTATATTTTTATTAAAAAAAAATTAACAAAAGTAAAAACAATCTAAAACAACTAAAATTGAATTTATTTACTTGAACGTTTTTATTAAAATACTAGTTATAAAAATCAATAACTTTAAATTTGTAATAATAGTTACTTATTATTATTAAATCAAAAAATTTTAAAATAAAGTTTAAACATTTATTGTTAATGAATTATTTAATTATAATATTATTAAAAATATTTGAATTTATTTGTTAAGATTACTTTATGTTATATTATATAATATTTTAATCTATATAAAAATATAATAAAAGTTTTCAAATACTGTAATTCAAGTTATTTATAAAAAATAATTATCATATTTTTAAAAATTTAAGCAAAACTATAACTATTAAGTATTATATTTAGATAAAAATAACTTTGCTATAACTATTCTTAATTAATGCTATTCTTAGTGATAATACTAATAAACTTATAAAAAAACTTGATCTAAAAACTGACATCAAGTTCAAAACTATTGTAATCATCATTCATAATATATAAGTCAAAATCCTTAAACAAATAATCCTTTTAACGATTTTTATCTAGGAATTTGATTATACTAATAATATTGCAAGTAATTAAATTATATGAGAAAACTCTTTTTCTAGAAATTAGTTAGTTAAATTACATAAAATTAAATTGAAACTTTAGAAATTTATACTCATTAAATTATTCACAAAGATAAAATTATTATTACTGCATCTACTATACTAATAGTTTTACATTTCTAATATTAAATAATAATATAATAAAGATAATGATAATAATAACAAATTTTTGAATAAACTTGAATATGAATTTGAAAGTAATTTGAAAAATAAGAGTCTATACATCTGATTTTATTCTTGAATTTGAAAATGAAAATCTTGCCACCTTTTCTTTAACTATTTTAAACCCGAGGAATTTATTTTTGAACCTATTACTGGAATTTGATTAAGAAATAATAAGTTAAATTCTTTATGATTATAAGAAAGTTTTTATTGATAGTATTTCAAAGAAGAATAAATAAATAACCTGAAAAGAATAAAAGCAATCATTTATAGTATTGACACCAAAAATATTAAGCAGTGACTATTTAAGATCTCATATGATTAGCAAAAATTTATCAAAAAAGAAATTGAGAAAATATATTAATAAGAAATCATCAACTCTATCACAAGCTCTTGATCTTTTCTTATTGTTATAATATTCAAGAAAAATCACAAGTAGTATTTTTGTGTTGACTATAAAAAACCTAATACAGTTACAGTTACTAAAAATAATGTCTATTCCTATTAATTGTTAATAATCTTTTGGAAATCTTTAATAGTACTCAATAATTCACCTGGCAAGTGAATATTATCAAAGTTGGTTTATCGCTCGGCAAGCTTCATGAAAAATGTTATCATAATGCTAATCAATTCCAAAATAAACGGACTTATTACTCTTCTTGTTATATATCAGCATTTTGATCTTCGCCGAGAAAATCCCTGACCATCACACGTATAATAGGCGCAGTGAAATCACTCACATAAATCTCGTCACATGCCTTAACATCACGTTCCTCAATAAAATTTGGTCGCGGTGTGTCTGAAAATTAAATAGTAATTACATCAGTCTTGCGGGAAATATACCTGTGCGGGTGAGTGTGATATAGATAGACGAAAATTCTGTAGACATTATTTCGGAAATCTAGTATAATAAAGAGTGTGAGTGAGAATCTCGTAGATAGCATAGTGATAGAAATAAATTAGGTGCAGAAGTTTATAAAAAGTCCGAGTGAGCAAAGAAATGACTTATGCCGGGACTCGCATACTCCCTTTCAGTTTTCACTTTGTTACTTAGCTATTATTAATAAAGATTTCAGTTTGAAAAGGTCATAAATTGTTCGGGAATTATTTTTTCAGACATGTGATATTTTTCCGAAGGTATAAAATAAAAGTATCTTCTTTATTGGGATTGAAAAAAAGCGAGTCCAAAGAGCATATGTGGGGAGACTCCGGGCCTTGTAAAAGGACGAAGCGGAGTTCACGAAGCACAAATCTGACTCAATATAAAAGCGAAAGCAGAAAAGAACTGGAATGAGGGCAGTGACATTTTTTAAACGCGAATCAAATTACATTTGTCATATTATCTGTAGATCGTTAGTTACGTAATACGTGCCTTACGTATATACAAAGTTGATCAGATTTTATTTCGCGATCAGAGTTCATTATGAAAGAGTCCACACCTCAGCGTTTCTGTGATTTTGTTAAAGACTTCGAGTTTGACTATTTAAGCATTGCTCCAGAGAATGCATGGGAAAATTTAGAAAATGCATATATTTTTTATCTTAATAATATATCAGAACAGACGGTCTCGAATGAAACGCTTGAGCTTGTAAAAACATTACAGCAACGATGGACTGTATGTTTCTTTTACTTGTTAGCTCGTACCGAATTTGAATAATTAACTCGGCTTTGATTATATAGTCGATAAAAACTCGTACTATGAATAACTTCATCAATAATTATTTACAATTGCGCGAAAGACTTGCCGAAGTAAGTCTTAGATTTGATGTTGCGTTTAACATTGAGAGCTTCCTAACTATTTTATGATTATAGCGAAAAATGCAAGCGATTTCTCATGATGCTGCATGCCGTATTATATCTGCTAACGTAGAGAAGGTGGAGAAAAACGTTATAAAGTGGATAAAAACTTATGATAGTGATAATTCTCAAAATTCCTTTGCCATTTCATAGGTTTGTATTAATAATCCTTGTCAGTGGTTAGTGTTATATAGTATATAACATGTAAATTTCAAGAATGAAAGAAAAGGACCTGTGGAGGAAGTCTCTCATAGAATCACCATTTCTCAAAAAGTCCGCACCCACACTCATTCTCCGCATGATTCAATCTTGGATTCAAATAATGATCCAAAATTAGAATTGTCTGTCGATGCGCCTGAAGTATTATGTTTTTTACTTTATGAAAATCTTCGATATCCCAAGGTCTTTTCATGCATGGATGCCTTGAATCTGTCTGCTTAATATTTCTTCTTTCAATAACGACTATTATACACAGGCTCAACGACCACAAGCTTCCATGTCCCATGAAATCGAGGTAATTATACTTGTGTTAATGTTTGGCCACGAAAAAAGTATTTCCCTAAACGTCTGAGTGTAAGTACAGCAGAAACTGACGTTTTTAGCTCCGAGAGCGATGAAGATTCGGAAACAAATGATTTGATACACCGGATCATGAGGTAATTTATTAGCTGTAAACGTTATTATTCTCATTCTTGAAGGAGGCGATTAATAATAAAGAAGAGGTAAAGGAGGAGAGCAACAATAAAGAAGTAGCAAAGGAAAACCAAGCGTACCTTCATTGAGAATTTTTGATTAATAACAAGGGCTTTATGTTTTTTCCATTAGAAAGGGCCATTTATAATGCGCGAACAAAATCGAATAGAGTTTACGAAATCCTATAGGGCAATGGACGAAGGTTATATGTGGAAACTTTCATCAGGGAGAATAGTTGAAAAAGAGTTGCTTAAACTCGGAAATGATTTGGTGTTTGAACAGTAAGTATTCATGCATATGAGTTTATGTTCATGGTGATTATCGTAATAAATTGCATTTTTGTTCCCATAGTGCCATTCATTCCTTTATCCTTGATGTTGAAGATGAGTTAATTATGGAACATTTCACTGAGAAAGAACTCGAGGAGATAGAAGGCACAACTATCCCGGTGGTACCCGATATTTCGGACGAAATTGACAATTTTTTGAGTAAATTCCTCGGCAAGGTAATAAATATTTCAATTACATGTTACTACATACTGTATACTGTAATAAGTCACTAAGATTTTTTCTCTTCTATTGTAGACAAACTTAAACGAAATCCGACAGATAATAAAAGAATCAAAGTTCGGTAATAACTACAACCGTGAGAAGCATCATGACATGGACTACATATGTTTTGCTTTACATTCATTGTAAGTAGTCGTTTTTGTTTTGTCCTTGTGACCGTGAGACTATCTGCACACATACAGTATATATGGACTTCATCAGAGTTTTTGTGAAGCTTACTAATCGTGAATTGACAGGGTGAGGGAAATCGAAAACGATAATCTCAAGAACGCAAACCTAGAAAACTGGTATAACTGCCATATATGGAATATAATATTCGACCAAGAATTCGGTGATGTACAGGCAGTGACTGTCGTCAGGTAATTTTTTACCTTTATAAAGTAGCTTCTTTTGATCTGACTAGATTTTTTTTTTTTGCAATCAAGAGGGGAAAGTACGAGTGTGCCGATGGCAACACGTAAGAATAAAAAAGTCAAAAGGAAACCAGGTGAACGTCGGAAAATTGGACGTAGAGGGGATTGGACACTTAGAGCCGTAGGCAACGGTAACAAAGATGAGTTTGGGGCGGGAGAGGTAGGCAAAGATTGGACAAATAAATATGGGACAAAGTATCTCGAGGAAATTGGCTTAAAACTTCCCAAAACGCTAAAAGATATGTTAATGAATTTAATGGAGAGGATAAATTGGGACAAAGATGCGCGCAAAAATATCCAGACCATCGGAATTATACACGAAGGTATGTCCCCTAAACTTGATTTTGCAAGTATTTCAGGTGTTCATCGCTGACCAATAACTAAATTTTATAATAGGTCTTATGATGTCATTGGTATATGCCGACAATCCGAAAGGATACGTCTGCAGATTTCGTCGTAGCAACCATATGGAAGTACCAGATACGGCGGAAAAATTTGATTCAATCTTGTCAATATTGGCATCTGTCCTGATTGCAAAGGTTGTTATATGTTTTCCGTTCTATATATCTTTTGACTTTACAAAGATGATGTATTTGTAAATGTTAGTCTGCAATCTGAATGACAATAGAGATGACCAAAACAAAAAGACAGACTACCAGGTCATCATTTAAGGGTGCAGGGTACCGAAAGCGACCTCGAGAGGAAGATCACCATCAGATGCCTGCATGCTTATCAACTCCGATGAAAGCGAAAATGAACACCATATCCAGTATCACCATTGCCGAGTTCTGATCCATTGATTTAATTTAATACCAACGAATCCACACGTTGCGTTTTAATTACATCCATATACAGTAAATGCGGATAAATAAAATTGAGTTCATTGATTAAGTATTTAAAAGCTTCACCTTCCTGTAACCAATAACTTTAAACGCTTGTAATTGATTGCTCTCAAAGAGATTTAATTTATTCGCATATTCTGTGTGATAGTAATTTTCAAATTAACTGTAATATGGTTATCAAAATCCGAAGTACAAAGGTAGATGTCGTACCTGAAGATGAACCCTAGATAAAGACCCGCATCATGTGGAGCGTCTTAGGCAAAAAATCTACCGCAGTGTCATTGTATCATGCAGTTTCTTTATTAATAAACTAATGTCCTTATTTCCGTTTAGTGTCATAATGATACTGTATTTTAACGCCTTCACAACTTTATTATCATTTCCCACAAATTGTTTCCACATTTTTGACAGCAAAATCTAGTGTTTCCAATGCCAAGATAATAATAAATTCACCTTCCTTTACCATCGCTACTATATTGTATTTGGCATTAACTGAACCGCCTTCGATACTTACACTTCAGTCCTCAAAGCACGCTTCATAAACGAGACCCATAGACTTCAAAAGATTATTCTTCAAAGAGTCATTGTAACTTTTAAAAGCTTATCTACCCAAACGTCAAATTCAACATCTTTTTTTGTTGCCTTGAAAGAGTAGGAATAGAAATCTTTTGATTTTTTAGAGACTCAATCGAAAACATCTTTATAACTGCTATAATTTTTGATCTCTTCTTTAATTTTTTAACGACTTCTTTTGACATGATAGAATTCAGTTAAAATAAAGGTCCTAAAAGAGTCGAGAGGTTATTTTTTAAAAAATACGTGTTTACGAACATTGCAGTAAGACATCATCTCTAGATTCCTCGATCACCTGAAATGCGGCAATACGATATCTTGAGCAAAAATACTGTATATCATGGGCAGTAAGTATGTCGGAAGCCTTCCCGATTATCATATGACATATATGTAACCTTATTTCTATCCCGGCTCATTAATCCAACCCCTATCATGAAAATATAAATAGACCAATATACTCTTTTTTTTCGCCTTAATGACATCTCATGAATCAATCTCACTACTTCTAGAGGCTCGAACCTTGATTGGTTTGCAAACAAGAAATTATAGACTCACATGCGATGTTCTGAAGTGGTCATTCTTTTCACATTAAATGCTGCAGTGAACTTCAGTTCGTTCTGAACAATGTCCAGAGTGTCGAGGCCACAATGTGGAATAGCCCGACGGCTTAAAGATATGCGTGGAGAAGAAAATTATTAGCTTTTATACGTGAGGTGACAACTGAAATAATGGAAGTTGATTACAATTCGTCAGAAGTACTCTCTCCTGATAATTATCGTCCCTTTGAGTTTCTACGCAAGTTATGTCGGAAAATTGGCAAGGCCGATTCTGAGACCATCTATTGGTAATATGAATTTGGTTTAGCACTAACCATTTGTCTCAATGAATTAATAAAGAACGGATAAAAGAGAGTGCGAAAAGTTAAATGACGAGGTTCATAGACATTTCTCCTATTTCTCACCTGGTATTTCAGCAGCCGTAATAAAGGATAATATGAAAAGGGTTAGAAAAATGTATGATCTTTTTATGCTATAGGTGTAGTTAGAATTAATCAGATTGTACTGTACATTTTCTGCAAACATGATCTCGAGTTTTACGAGGATGAAATTAATTTCATAAAATCAAGTGTTAAATTTTGTGACGCCTTGAATATGCGAAACATCTTCCGAATGTTTTATTATGTCATTATCCTAGAACAATTGCTTTTGATAAAGGTGTTCTTTTATTAACTATATAGCCTTCTTTTCCCCTAATTGATTAGTAAGATCATAATAGATGGAGTTCGCAAATAATTGAAGGACATCTATTAAACTCTTATATTTCTAAACATTCAAGCATTTAGATTTTTTTCGGCTAGCCAGCCAATTATAATAAAAGAAGTACTTTTCATTTTTTTAAATCTATGTATCTTACAACTGTGCTAATAATAAACTTTTTAATTATCAAAATGAAATGATTTTTTATTGCATCTTTATTATCAGAAATAATGGTTATATTATTGTTATAATTATCTACTCAGGGCACTAAGTAAGAATTGAATCCTATTACAGTTATAAAAGCTTGAATAACTTTAAAGTTTTGAGAATTTTAATTAATAATAAGAAGAATTAATTTTTTGACATTAATCTAGAAAACATTAGCTATGTAGAACTTTTTTGTCTCTTTTAGAATACTTTCATGTGCAAGTCTAAAAACCAGCATTTAGATACATCATTCTTTATAATAATCGACTAAGTTGTTTAAATGAATTTAAATATACAGATTTATGGACGTTCCACTCCTGAAGGATGACATGAATATTGCAGGATGCCACAAGTACTTATCGGAGAAACTCCCAGTGAGTGGGAACACCTAATGTATTTCAGAAATAATAATCTTATTAATATCAATACCAAAAGATTTCTCGAAGGGTAAAACATTGATACGATTTCCAGACGGTAGTTCATACGCTCCTACGATAGTGTACACGGGGAAAAACATTAAAACTATTGAGAGTCATTGGAAATCAGCATGTACTGGCAATAAATATTGCGAACTTAAGTATGAAGACTATTTAAAAATTAAACATAAACCGAATTTGATCATACATTTGACAATATGCGTGCATTGCATTATTACGAGTTGTGGATATCAAATTCTATTAGAAGAGCATGTGTCATCCTCCAGCATAAGGGGATATAATTCATGTATCGTCCCAATGGTTTAATGGTCAAGCAATTAACTAAACATTAAAACTTTTATGGACTATTCATGAAGACATAAATCACCAGCAATCTCAGATTCTCTTGCTTGGCCGTATGGTTGGGTAACATCAGAATTTACGCATGGTGCATCTCTAATTTTTAATTTTATTTATTTAGTTCTAATGATGTATCCCAACCCAATCGAATATAGAGAGGATTCTCTTTCACTCTTGTCAGTTCAATTGCAATGAATTGCCGACCTTGCAAATTTTTATTGATTATACCAACAGCATTACACCATTTTTTAGTATAATACCTAATTATACCAACTAATTCTTCATATGTACCCACTCTATTAAAGAACACAATATAATCTAAATTTTTTCTTATTAATTTTGGACAGTAGAAAAAGCTTTGTGTTATATAGATTGAACAGATATTTGAGTGATGTCTCTCAGTAAAGTAAGAGATACTTGTTTTTTTGCACCTTTTTAGACTCACTACATAAATCTTCGAATATAACCAACGTCTCCCTTTCAGGAGTAAATTCATCAATATTTGATATTTTATTGAGTTTCATCGATCAGAAAATAACATTTTTGTGATACAGCTTTGGAATATTCACAACGATTTGATAACAATCTCTCAAATATTTATATTTGGATTTCTTAAGACATCATTTTTTATATAGCGTGTTACACCTTTTTTCCCATTAAATATTCGATACATTTTATCCCTAAATAAAGATAACAATTATATTTGTTTTTTCAAATTTAGTTTGTCTAGTGATTAATACATTGAAAGGTCATTAAAATGTCGAATTAAGACTATTAAATTTCTCTGAATTCTTATACTCGTCATTATTATGAACAAATACTTCGCACTTATTGAGCTTTTTGTTTTTCATACAAGTTTAACACCAAACTTTGCTCATCCTATTTAACAGAGTTCAAATGATTGTTTAAATAGAACTGAGGCCAGAGTTTAATTCTTGAATTGACTCTTTTTAAAGCCACAAGTAGATTTTCTGAAATTGGGTTACTTTCACAGAATCTGATGTTGAGCTTGTGAAAATTAAGACTAGAATTTATAATACAATTAATAAATATATTAATAATATTATATTCTCCAAGTATAAGTTCTTTTAAAATAGGATACGATGGAATCAATTTACAAACGAACATATCAGTTACAGTGTATACTGTATTTCCATTCAAAAATATTAAAATATTGAAGTTAAAAACACAAGTCATCAATTTTTTATAGAAAGATTACTAAATTCATCAAATTTGCATCTTTTTTCCCTAAAAGAAATGCTCAGTAAATTTGGATATTAATTTGTAATTAGATTTATTCTGTTATTACTTATACAGTATATTTTTAGTTAATTAAATAAAAATACTGGAGTTTTAAGCAAGAATGAGCAATTTCCTTTAGTGATATATTAGTAATTTTAGGATCACCTAGATTGATATATCTATTTTTTAATATATTTTTTTGCAATTTTAAGTATTAATATGTTTTTAATTTTATTACTAAAGCCTATATACAGTATATACTGTATAAATCAAATTCAGACATAATAATATGATTCCACAAATAGTATTATCTCTAATATTTTGGAAATGCTCATATTTTCTTGTTTTATTCTCATATAATCCAAGGTGTTCTAAATTCAGTTGTACCATTTTTTTCAATCCTTTTAGTAAAAAACCCATAATAATAGACTATAGTTAAATATTGAAAATTAAGTATTGCTTTTTAATTTTCTATAAAAGTAACCAATTTTGAAATATCAAGAGATTTTTGTATATTCAGTATATATTACTACTTTAAATTTTTTTCACCAAATAGAACTATTACCCATTTTATAAAAATCAACTTTATAGAAATAGAACATATATATTATAAACAATTGATAAATACCATTTAATATGATATTTTATTAATAGCAAGATATATAAAAATTTTAGTTAATATTTCAAGTAAAGCCAATGGATATAATATACTATATAATATTTATTACAAATAATAAATATTATTATTTTGACAAAAAATTTTAATAAATAATTCTTTTCTACTAGTTATGATAAATATAAGATGGAAAATTGTAGATATATGTATTTTAATAAGATATATGCTCTTTCCTTCATATACAGTATATCTTTTTTTTAATTATGCATGTGTTATTATCTAAGCCTATCTTATTTCATTTATAGAATATCAGATTTTTAAAAAAATTTTTAGAATTAGAATACTATTTTTAGCTTTTTATTATACCTATTTAATTGTTTATTATCTAAGAATAATAGTTTATAGAATAAAAATTTCTCATGAACAAATCCTTTAAAATATATTTTACATTTCAATTCGGAAGAATGGTACTGGAAAATAAAACTGGAAAACCTGTAGCCAAATCAAATCAAACACTGATATTATCATTTTAACCAATAAATCAAGAAAATTATACAGATAATGAGGAAAATGGATATAATGAAGAAAATAAAATATGGTACGATGATTCTGAGAGCAGTGCTCATTGTTCTACAATAAAAAAATGGATATCAGTAAATAAAAACTTACCTGGTAACTCTACTAATTCTTCTTTTGATCTAATAATTAACTATCCAGAAACATACAATCAGTTATTGTCTAAACTTTCGCCTACAATGCGAAAAATGTGTGAGTCTTATACAGTTTATAAAAAAGAATTAAAATCAGATGAGTGGTTTTCATCTTTACAATACCTGAATACTAGTATAAACGATCTATCTATTTCTGAATCTTTTTTAGATAATGGAAGTGAATTTGGAACCTTGAATGATGCAACAATTGATGCTTTTGGATGGAAAGCTGATAAGCCTTCTAATATTGATATAAAAGGTAATTCTAAACATATCACTGAATCATTAGGATGATTTACAGATGTGTCAGCCACTATTTATGAGAAATTCAAGAACATTTGCGAGGACCAACACTATCCATTTCCGTTAGATATGATGTTGCTATTTGTCTTGAAAGTTTTTTTAAAAAGAGTGATTTCAGTCAGAAGTCAATTAGATCGCCATTAGGATATTGCACTTTATAAATCGTAAAAATTTCTTTTGATGCGTTTGAGCGTTCAGTATTTCCTAAGATGTCTGTTATCTGGTAAAAAAAATCAATGTGTTAAACATCTGTTGGTTTAAAGTGCATTATTAGATAATTAGATAATTACTTATAATATCATATTGAATAGTTCTTTTCTCATCATTTCCTTATGAGAAATTTTCAAAAAAATTCTCGGTCATTGCTTCCTCTTCGTTTTCTTGAGAGGGGCTTTCATCTGTGTATGTAGTTTTTTTTTTGGAGGAAGTCACGTAAGTAATCCACAATAATCCGGTACAACTACTCTCCCACTTCTCATTCTTTTATCAGATTTAGGTTTGCACTTGTTTATTAGGTCGAAGGTAAAAACATCAATTTATTATTTTTGTCATAAATGATTGTTGATGTTCAGCTATCCATTGAAAAGAATTAATACGTTAATAGAGTCACTTAATCTCACCTTTTTTGCCGGAATTGTAACCCCTTCAGTACTCATATTTTCTTCTTCATCATCTACATCTTGACGATGTTTCTCCCTAACGATTGTCGTTGTATGTTGTTCCATTACCGGTTGAAAATTGGTTTATCTGATTTACTTTCATAAGATCGACTTTGATTCGTGTACAATCTTTTTTGAAGTTCTTTATTGTGCAGTCTAGTTCTTGACAAAACAAAGAATAGTTAGCGTAATTCTAGAAATATTTAACAATAACAATATGGAGTAAGGATATAGAGTAAAAAGAGCATTTGACTAAGGGCCCTGTCCTTGTAAGACTTGAAGTCCCAGTTTGCACTAAGTGTCGAACTTGTAGTTCATTACTGGAGACTTATAGTCTCAGATTACGCTAAGTGTCGAACTTATAGTTCATCACTGTTCAGACAAAAAGCTCATTCTACTCTATCAGCACGCATACTTTCCAGTTATCTAGTATTTCCTGAGCTTTTTTCTTCCTTGTTGTGTCAAATCCAGGATTAGAATTTGCAATATCTCGAAGATCTTTATATATAAGACCCAGGACTTCTTTTAAACCCTTTTGTTTTACTTTTGTACAGTAAAAGCCTATTACATTGAAGCATGTCCAATCTTCAATTATATTGTCACGATAAAAATTAAGATGTGTGGACATATTTTGCTAAGTAGGCTTCTACAAGTCACGGGTCATAACAGTCATGGCGCATGTCATATGAGTGTTTTTATATTGCCTGACTGATAAGTGCAGTAACAAAATCTTTCCATGTGTCTGGTGAAATAAAAAAGGAAAACTGGAGTGTGTGACGCAATGTTAAATCATGTGATAGTAAATTTTTTGATACTGAGGAAAATAATATTTATCTCGAAAATCATTATTTGTACTTATTAGTATTATATAATAGTATAGTATATTGATAATATTAAGAATGCATCAATAGTTACCTTCGAAAGGTAAGTTTGTTGTATTTGATCTTACTAGATCGGAAGATGATCTACTAGCAATATGATTAAGATTTGATACTTACATAAACACCTTTTTTACTTATGGCAAGAAAGTTCTAAAAGGAAGAAAATCAATATTAAAGTATTAAAAACTTATTTTTGAAGCAAAAGTGCAACTGGAGATTCTTTGTAGTGGATGGATAGGTAAACAAAAGCCTAAAAATTTAAAAACTTTCTTACCTACTGTTATTATTCTCTTTGAGTCATTTATTTTTTAGAGTTTTGAGGAATTTTATCTATCTTAATTTGATCTTGAATTTTAAAATAGCACAAAATCAATATAGCTTTTGCTAAAGATAATTGGTTGGCAAAAACATATTGATAATAGAATATAAACAAGCTCCTACTGATTACATCATATGTATTAATGATATTATTTATAAAAAAAGAATTGATTGGTTCCCTGATGCTTTACTCTTATAAAGTCAACAAGATTTCAGCCATTAATTTTTCTAGGCAGAATTTCTTTTTCTATTACTTAGGTTAATAAAGTTTTTAAGGATAACTTTTTTTTAGTTTGATAAAGATCAAAATAATAAGTTTTTGGATAGATAAGTAAAAAATCTATAAGTAATCAGTGTAAAATCTAAAAGATATAAGCTGAAAAGGTATAGTCTAAAAGATAGTAAAGAAAAAACTATCAAGACACAAGTTTTTTATATAGTCCGAAAAAGAAAGAACATTTCAAGAAGATTTATTTTATTGAAAAGAAATCTGAAAAGTTGAATCTTTTGAAAAAACTAGATTTTATTTTTTTATTTTTTGTATATATATTTGCATATTTTATATATATCTATTTTTCTTTTATATCTTCTTTTCCTTATGTAAATTTTTATTAACCAGTGACTTAAAGAATATATAATAGTGATAAACTGCTGACAATAATGGTAAGAATTGAAAAAATATTTACTCAAAATTCTTTTCAGAATAAAATATTATCCTTAAGATCAAATTTAAAAACTTTTATACTTAAGATAAATTTGTTAAATATGATATGGATTTTAGCTATATTATTTTTTATTTTACTTTGATAAATATATACTTTGTTTTCTTAAAGATTAATTTTTTTTTTTTAAATGCTAGCTCATCCTTGCATCAGGTTAGTTCCTTTATTAATTATTAAGATACATTCTAAGGACAACTAGGATTATTAGTTACTCATACTGTCTAAGGATTTACAGATCAATGAATAGTATAAAGGGCATTTATTTATGTCTCACCCAACCAAATAGGGGAACTATATTACTGTCTAGTATAGAATTACTCTTAATCCTTAACAAAGTTGAAAGGAGATGGATGTATACTACCAAACTAATGGGTCACAAATTGTACTCCCTTATCACCAAACTGGCACTTCCTAGGGGATTCCATGGAATGGCTTGTTACTACCCTTTTTGGCAGAAACTAACATGCCAAGAACTTGTCTAAGATGTCCAGCACTACCGGTATTGGAGATTTCTTATACAAGGTCTATAGACCTTGTTAGTGCTAATAAGAAAAAAGAAAAAAAAATTTGGAGCTGTCCTGTGTCTTGTCTGAGGCACAATCTTATATCATGGAACTCCTGACACCCATTTATTGAGAAACTGTTTTGTAGAACACTTGTGTTTTTGTGGATGGTCAGGTCCATTTTTGTGCGCAGTCTGTGAGGCGAACAGTCTATGGGCTTGTTTTCTCTTCCTTGATGGCCAATAATTTAGGAAATTGCAGTATTCTGTATCCACCTGTATCAGGGTATGTGACTTATGGTGGATCCCAGGTTCTTATGGAGCTGAAGAAATGCATTCAGACACATGAGGTGACCAATGAGAGCTTGTTTATCAATTTTATCCAACGTGTTTTATGTTGATCAATTGGAATCAGTGGGATTCATGCTACCTGAAATTTCAGGGTCAAGTTGAAATAGGTAAAATTCCTCAAAAAGCTATGAAAAGTGGTAGCTCTAAGAGGACACACAACCATTCAAAGGGTGGAAAATGAGTCCTTTGAATGAGAGAAACTCTCTCTCAGGTACTATTTTGTTCTTCCACTTCAACTGATAGGTAGCAGGTACTTTGCTATTGGTTCTTCTTCCTTGAGGAACTTTCTTGCCATTGGTAGTCAAGGTGAGTGCTGGACTTTGCAGGTCACGAGAGTCCAGTGTTGTTCAAAAGAGGTTATAAACAATATAGGGGAAGTAGTGAAGTTCTGAAGGAGGTTCCTTTAGGTTGGTTTAAGGAAAGTGTTAAGACTTTATTAGTATAGGAGTAACTGGACTTCTGCAAACATCTTTTTTATATATAGTCAGAGGATCAGCGAGAAGAGTCCATGTTAAAGATTAATAAACTCTATATAACATAACTATGTATAATTAAAAAAAAATAAAAATAAAATATATATACTTATATGGATAGTTATTTTTGAAGGTGACAAAAATATTATTTAAAATTTTCATAAGTTGCATGCCAATTATACAGGTGGATACAAGACATGAAATTTATGATATTATTGGCTATATAGAAAGAATAAAGAAACTTGAATTAGAACTTATTGAATAGCAAACAATAATCCTTCTTCTCTTTTCCAATATACACAACCAGAGGAAAAAGACCATAAGGTATAGAGCCTTTAGGAGAGTTTTTGATTACCTGGCACTGACACATTGAAAAGATAACTTCTGATTCATTAAGCAACTACCTCCTCTCTCCAAATACTTTCTTGACAGCAATACAATATAAAAAATTTTTGGTTAGCACTAGTAGAGTTAAGACTTCATATAAGGGATTTCTAATATCAAAGGTAATGTTTACTATAGATGAATCCTTGAGACATTAGCCTCCTCTTTATAGAATCTGGAATAGCAATAAGTCACTCAGTGCACCATATTTTGTTATATCTTAGGAAGTATCGGTGTGGTCTTGAAAATAATATAATGAAAAGTTTCTTTCACTCAATGTTATTCCTTGTTTTGTTTTAGTAAGTAGTATACCTATACTAGACTAAAGATGGGTTTCTAAAGGAGGAGGTAAGAACAAAAGTCAAATGTCCCTTACTAGTAAACATTAAAATTTTTAAATTAATAACTATAAAAAAACTATATACAATTATTCTTTATTATCCAAATTATTAATTTATAACATTTCTTGACTTTTGTTCCTATTAAAGTAAAGAGCTATGAATTTTGTCCCTCAAAAAGAAACATAAGTAATCTGCAAAATTTTATATGCTAAATACTTTAAAAATCCATTATTATACTAGACGGTCATATAATTATCTTATCTGGATTGAATGAGACATAAATAGTTTGCTCTTTGTACTATTTATTAATCTGTAAATCCTTTAAATTCTTAGACAGTATGGATAATTATTCATTCTGATTGTCTCTAAGTATCTTCTTACTTTAATAAAACATATTCATTCTGGCTCAAAAATGAGCTAGTATTAAAAAAAAATTATTTAAAATTTTCTGATAATCTTTTTTATTTAAAAGGATTTAGATTTTTTTTGTTGTGAATTTAAAATGCTTATAACTCTCTCTATTTATATATAATTAAATTAATAAAAGAATATTTATTTTAAAACTTATATTATAAGTTATCATTTAAAAAAATTGTTTAGTTCTGATTACTAAATAATAAAAAAATAGTATAATAAATTAGATTCTATTTTTAGAATTTGACTATTTTCACAAGTTTAATTTTTTAAAAAAAATCAAACCACTTATATACAATTGCCTTTAAAAGTTTGAGTACACTTATTATATTTTTATTATAAATTTCAGCTTTTACAATTTTTAAATTCTTTATTTTTTTTTAATATCCAACTGACAGGATGAAACTTTTATTAAGTATTCAATAGTACATTTTTAGATTATATAAGCAATTATATAATAACCTTATTTAACTATCTATTTTTTCCAAGCATGCCAATTTTATTACATGGTGATATTATTTTCATTGGTTACTCTACTCTACATGAACCTATAGTGTTTTGAAGATTCACCATTAGATTACTTGTTTTGAATCTTCAAGGGGCTTTATAATATATATTTCTTAGAGAAGTTTTGTTTACAGCTTGATAATAGTGGATATCATGAATAATTTCTATTATGT